ATTTGGTATCGTTTGAGCGATCAAATCCGAGGCTGAATTAACATCTATCCAAATGCACGATCGCTTAAGCAATTAATGGTCTCACTTAAGTGATTCTTCACTTTACCCTTGGTCGCTTAAGCAATTTTGGATTGCTTAAGCGATCAAGTCCAAGGCAGAATCAAGATCTACCCAGAGGCACAATCACTTAAGCAATTTATGGTTTCACTTAAGTGATTCTTCGCTTTTACCCTTGGTTGCTTAAGCGATTTGGTATCGCTTAAGCGATCAAATTGAAGGTAGAATCAGGATCTGCCCAGATGCACGATCACTTAAGTGATTTATGGTCTCGCTTAAGTGATTCTTTACTTTTACCCATGGTCGCTTAAGCGATTTTGGATCGCTTATACGATCAAGTCCATGGCAGAATAAAGATCTGCCCAGATACACGATCGCTTAATCGATTTATTGTCTTGCTTAAGCGATCCTGTACAGAAAATCCTTGGTCACTTAAGCAATCATGGGTAGTACCTATTTTTTCCAGCTTTTCTCCTGAATTTTGACAAACTAAAATCACCAACACATATTAATTCTATATTTTCTCCTGAATTTGACAATCTAATTGCATCAACACATCAATGTCATGTAACAAGAATACTAAATAAACTCAAACTCAAAAGAGAGAAAGAAATACTTAATTGCTTTTGTACAAATCTGAAATGTGTCAATTACATTAAATTACAACATTATATACAACAAATAAATGTCCTATATACACTCAAAACAAAAGCAAGGCCAGCAGCCTCCATCCCCCCTCTTCATCATTCTCTCCAGCCACTTCCCAATCCTCCAAAATTATCTAACACATCTTCAGCATCAGCAGCAACAGCAATAGCCTCTTCGTCTTCTTCTATAGCACCCCTTCCAACATTATCCAACCTTGGCCACAAAGCATACATAACACCACAGCCCAAGTATCAACAGCCTGACACCTAACAACACCGGCTAATCCAATTCAAGACAATCCAATTATTCAAGACAACCCAATAAGATATCATCATATAAACTACAAAATTCTAAGTCCAACTTCCATACCTTTTGATGACAGTATCAATAATGACTTGGATTGGGTTCTGGTTAGTCAAAAGGGATCTATATGCCCATAGAAGCACTCAACAATCTAGCACTTCCGACAACTGCTCATTTTTCATCATTCAAGTCGTCCGTCGGGGTGTTGGTCATGTTGAACTCAATAAATTTTAGTGCATATGCCTCGCAATCAGCACTATAATAGGAGGAAGACATTAGCATTAGAATCAACTTATAGAAAATTTGTATTATGCAAGTTATATACAAAATTAACCTTGAGTCATTTGTCAAGACAGGAAGGCGCTTGAATACACATAGTGGCTACAACTCCATCTTCAACTGCCTCTCTCGACAAATACTTGGGTTGCAGTCAAGGAGCTGTAGCAAGCCCTCCTCTAGTAGCGCAACAACGATTATCCAATGCATATCCCTGATGTTCATGATGCAGTATACTCTTTTAACGTTTGCGCAACTGTTGCCCTGTTTAGGCCTTTCCCCTCGTACATACTGCATCATCCTATCATCAAACTAAAAATCGTCAGTGACACCGTCGAAGTCATTTGTGGTTAACTTTTTCCGCTTGCCTCCCCTTGTTGTACCTCTACATATGGCCTCTTTCATTAAAGTGTCATATGTAGCTTCTAATGTTTGGCCAAAAGCCACATCAGTGATGGCATAGTGCACATACAAAATATCACCATTACTGCTCTATCGTAGCCTCATAAGTGCTAATACCTCATCGATGTGCTACATCAAGTAAAAACAACATGATAAGTATAAAATACCTCATGGAATACATAAGCAAAAATAAGGGAAAATAACTCATCGAGTCGTCGAGGCACCTGCCCATCGTCAATATCTTTTCAAACCACTCTCAGGAATAATCCCCAGTCTTGCACTTCATATGCCCATCACTTCTAGAATCATTGTAATAGACATAGAAGAATTTTTTATTTTCCTCATCTATTGGCCTATACAAATCAACCTTTAACTACTTTGTTTTCACTTGCCCAGTTCCTCCACCTTCCTTCTCCATTTTCACTTCCCCACTTCCTTCGTGCCCCGCCTCACCCTCTTTTCACTTCCACACTTCCTCTGTCTTCCTTCTTACCCTCCTCTATTTTTGCTTCTCCACTTTCACGAACTCCCTCATTTTTTTCTTTTTTTTCCCTCTTCTTTCCATATGTTACTACCGTGCAAGGAGAAATTACATGCTTACTCTTTCGGCTCTCTCTTTTATGCTCAGGTTGGACTTCAAGCACTTTCAATACCCCACTAACTTCCTCCTCCACCCTACTAACCTTCTTCGCCACCCTATCAACTTTCTCCTCCACCCTTTTCATCCGCTCTTCCATCTTCTCAAACCTCTCATAAATGGCTGTTGTAAAACTCTCAAACAGACCATTTATGAGGTCTACCTCATTCTCCCGAGCCCAATGCCTCGACAAAGTGGTACTTGTTGTACTGGTTTGCCAATTAGGTAGAGACATACGAACTTCCTCATCCCCCTCCCTCTCGCTGATTAAAGCTTCATCATCCTCGGTGTCAATAACATTCTCAAGCAGTGGCCCTGCAACTGCACTCACATGCATGACCCCTTCTAGGTCTCGCATTAGGTGGTCTATCCCTTCATCTGCTGCATCGTCTAGTGCTTTGAACGATGTAACATACTCCCGTTTCACCCCTAGTAGCGATGAGGAAGGGACAAACAACTCCTTGCAATAAGAAAAAAATCAATCAAATTTAAGCCACATTTAAAAGCAAGTGCATGTTCAAAAGATTAATCTTTTAATCTTAGTCGAACCGCTTTTATTTCTATGTCTATTTTGTCCTAATCCCAATGGGTACACTTCTCGATGTGCCACTGCAACATCATAGGAAATTGCAGTCACTCATTTGAAGTCTTCATCCTCCCCCCCACCTCAGCTAGGACAGGGACGACCTCATATATCTAAGCCTAGATTGTAAAAAAATAGTCCATATCATAATTAAAACACATATAATAAAAAAAAATAACAAAAAGGTATTAATATTTACCTACATTGCCCATGGGAAGCCAAACAAATTGTACGTGCTCAGTCTATTCTTCTCGATAAATTGGCGATGCTTTAACGCCATGTCTTTTTCTTGTAGGGAGTCCATGGTTAGCTGATTTTTAGCCAAGTTATCGGCTGCTCTTCCGCATCTGGAAATACCCCACATCTTAAGCCTGTCATCAGGGCATATTCCATCATCCAAAACGTAGTGGCTTCCCATCCAGTACGAACCACATTTCATTTTTTTTTTTTTTTTTTTTTTTGCTTTTAAGTGAGTGCAGCAACATATAATGCACTCCCTGCCCCATAACGCCCTTTTCCAATTTTCTCTGATGTTCACAAAATGACCGAAACAACTCTCTTTGAATCGGTCCATACCCTTCTTCTGTTCCTGTAAAATCTCCATTATTCTCGTAAAAATTTGCCAACTCAACATAACTATCACTCTTACGGGGAAGTATAGTACCTTATCGCTTACAACCTCCAACCCATAGTCTTTATAATTTACGCTTCATAAAATCTGCACAATCGATATAAACTAAATATCAGCAAAATAAAAAATAAAAAACCAAAACAACCAATAGGCTACCAATAGGCTACCAATTTGGGGGATATGGGCTTCGAGGGCATCAGGGAGTGGGTGTTTTTGGCCTCGAGAGGATCGGGGAAGCCAATGCAAGCCCTACGACGCTGTTGTGGCAGGTTCCATGAGGTTGGAGGGCTAGGGATGGCAGAAGGTGGCGGAACTGTAGGGTAGCCCTCCAACCCCCTATTCCGCCACCTCCTGCGATCCCCAGCCCTCCTACTTCCCACAAACAACCTCCCTATGGCCTCCCTTACCTTCCCCCACCCTCTAGAACCCAAACAAAGCCATTCCCCTAATGCTTGCCAACTACTCAATAAAACGCCACAACCACCATAACAATAAAACCAACTACATATCCCCCAAATTTGCACAAATCAATCAAATTCAAAACAAGAAGTAAAAAACGTACCCTTTCTTCACCGGCATCCTCTTCCTCGCCTGAATTCTCGCTGGCGTCCTCCTTTTCAGAACCATTTTCTGATTCTTCTCTCTGTTCTTTTGCCGCCATTGTCTCCTCTGCCTTTAGACCAACTTGACTCATTGGATGATCCACCGGAGTGCCTTCTTTGATAGCCTTTGAACTGTCGCCACCATCGGAGTCTAGGAGTTGGAGTGGGGTTAGGTTTTCCTCCTCTTTGTGAATATCAGCCATGATTTTGTGTAAGAAAGCTTTAGGATTGAATATTTGTCAGAAATATGACACTTTTATTGTCAAAAATCGTAGAGAAATCAAAGGTGTTTGTCAGTCCTTTTTTTGGATATTTGGCTCGATTAAGCGATTTTGAATGGTGGAGTCGTTTTTAATTTTCAAACTTTAAGCAAACTTTCGTTAATTATAATATTACTCACATATGTTTAAAATTTTTTAATTTAACCCATTTTACATGTTTAATAAATCCTAAGTATGCCACGTCAGTTTTTCTAAATTAAAAAAAAAAAATTGTAAAATATTTTCACGGTCATTTTTTTAAGTGCAAACTTGGGAGGTCGGGCAGTTAAATTTCCTCAATTTTTCCATAGTCAAATGAGTTATATATCCGCATGTAAAAATGAAGGAGGGTAGCTTCTAATATATATAACAATTCACAAATCCCCTCTCAAATTCAGTCGAAAATGTTTCACTTGTTTCTTCAAAATCAGCTTTAAAACTTAGATTTTCATCTTCATTTTCAGTTTCCCAAAATCAACTCACAAAATCACCTAAACACGCCTCTACTTTTAAACACCATCCTCAACTTCATAATTTCCTCCATGTAAATTGTAGATCTGGTAACTTCTCTCTTGATCAAGCTCTTTATTTCTTCGATTACATGATTCATATGCACCCAACTCCGCCTATCTCATCATTCCATGTTTTCTTTACTACACTCGCTAAGAAACAACATTACGATCAACTCCTTTTACTGTACACGAGGTTCGTTTCACCTGGGCTATTGTCTGATTTTGTTTTTTTGAACATTATCATTAATATCTTATGCAAAAGAGGTACGCTTTATGATGGTTTGTTGTTTTTGGGAGTATTTTTAGGAGGGGTTTTTACCCAAATGCTGTGACTTTTAATTGTCTCATTAATGATCTTTGTATGGAGGTTAAGATTAAGAAGGCGATTGAATTGCTTAGGAAAATGGGTTCTTTTGGTTGTACGCCTGACGTAATTACTTTTGGGACTTTGATTACTGGGTATTGTCGAACAGGCAATGTCACTAATGCCCTTCAGTTATTTGAAGAAATCCTTGATGGGAATGGGAAATATGGTTCCATTTGTAAGCTTGATATTGTTTGTTATGGTAGTGTTATTGATGGTCTTTGCGAATATGGGTTAATAGACAAGGCAAAAAAACTGTTTTTAGAAATGAAGAGTAGGGGCATTAACCCAAACGTGGTAACTTACAACTCACTAATTTATGGTTTGTGTAATACATCTAATGGGGAGGAGGCTAAAACTTTGTTTATGGAGATGTTGGATGAAGGTGTACAACTTGATGTAGTGACATTTAATGTGGTAATGGATGAAATTTGAAAGAATGGAAAGATGAAAGAAGCCAATAGATTGCTCCAACTGATGATTAATAGAGGTGTTCATCCCAACACAATTACTTATTCCGCAATTTTGAGCGGTTATTGCTTGGAAGGTAGAATTGACGATGCAAGAAAGCTATTTGATTCTATGGCAAGTAAGGGGTGTAAGCCTAATGTTTTTAGCTACAATATTTTGATGGAAGGTTTTTGTTTGGCAAATAAAATTGATGATGCTAATGAGTTGTTTGCTTCGATGTTTAAGAAGGAATGCATGCCTAATGAAGTTAACTACAATACTCTAATCAATTGGTATTGCAAGAATAAAAAAGTTAATGAAGCTATGAGTCTTTATAGGGACATGATTTCAAAGGAAGTTACGTTAACGGTTGTTACTTATAGCACCTTGCTAATTGGCCTTTTTATGATTGGTAAAGTTGGACATGCAAGGAAACTATTTGGTGAGTTGCAACGCAATAATGTTCCACCTAATTTATTTGCGTATAATATTCTCATTGATGGGTTCTGCAAAAATGGTTGTGTTTTGGAAGCTGTTGAACTGTTTCATATTTAAAAAATGGAAACATTCAACCTCACATCAGAACCTTCAAATGTCTCATTGATGGGTTGTGCAAAACAGGGAGACTCAAAATTGCTTGGGAACTATTTCACAGATTGCAAAATAAAGGCTTTGTTCCAGATGTTGTGACATATAACATTATGATGCATGGACTTTGTAAAGAAGGGAATTTAGAAATGGCAAGTAATTTGTTATCAGATATGGAGCAAAACGGTTGTGCTCCAAATATAGTCAGTTTTTATACGCTTATGTGTGGTTTCATGCGAAATAATGAGACTTCAAAAGTGGTTGAACTTCTTCACAAAATGAATGAGAGAAATCTGAAGCCAAATGTAGCCATTGCTTCAATAATTGTAGATCAACTGGTAAAGTATGAAACTTATCGTGAGTTCTTAAAGTTGCTTCCGTCATTCTCTGCCCATCATTTTGGATCAGCAGTGCATTAAATTATTTTGGATTTTATATAAGCCAATTCTTACAATTTGTACTTTCCATCATTTACTCATCTTCTATGATAGTGTTTACAATTTTCGCCTTTCTATTCCAAACGTTTTCAGTAAATTCTAACTTTAGAAATAAGTGGAAAGATGGCCTATGTTCAGAGCTAATGTGAAAATGGAAAGAACAACAGAAAATTGTTGGTGATGGCCAGCGTTGAATATTTCAATTGTCTCCAGGAGTTATACTAATAGCACTATTTTTATTTTGTCTTGTACACAAGGTCGCCCTAAAAAATACCAAAGGGAATTCGACTTGAAGGCACCAATGTTGACTAGGGAAAGAGATACTTGAGGTAAATGAGGAATTTGATCTGATATGAAACCTCTTTTGAATGAGAATTTTGATCTGATGTAAAACTTCATAAACTAAAGGTTATGGTAGAAACATCATTTTCCCTAATGGTTAGCAGGAAAGTTGTTTGACCCCAATAACAGTAGAAGATCTGGATGATGCTGCTAAGAAAGCATTTAAACCAACTGTCAAACGAGTAAATCGATGATACAAGCCTGCTGTTCCTATTCTTCATACTTTTTTAGAATTTTTACGAATTTTGATGAAACGAATCAATTGAATATTTGTTGATGATAAAGCAGGAAGGGTAAAACTTTCTTCTATTGCCTTTTAAAATTATCTGTTTTGTGGTTAATTGAATTGTTGTGTTTCTAATGGGAACCCACCCCAACAACTCAAACAATTAGGCTAGACTATGAGTCTTTCATGAGCTTGGGTAGAACTCTCCTTGGAAAACTGGTTTGCCAAGAGAGGGTGTCCAAGCCCTTTATAACCCACATGCCCACCATTTTCTCTTCCAATGCGAGATCCTAACATTCCACCACGTTTTCGCAACCGACGTCCACGTCAGTCTCTTTACCCCTGTTGGGCTCTTTACCCCTGTTGGCCTCTTTACCCCTTGGGTGACTACGCGGACCCTCTTTCTTTCAGGCCTCCATGCCCTTTCTCAGAGTAGTAGCCCAAACCCAAGGTTAGCCTACCACGAGTCAGCCTGCCACGTAGGCAATGTCCCATTGGCACAGGATCATGTTTTGATACCAATTGATAGGAACCCAACTCAACAACTCAAACAATTGGGTTAGGCCATGGGTCTTTCATAGGCTTAGGTAGAACTCTCCTTAGAAAACCGGTTTGCCAAGGGAGGGTGCTCAAGCCCTTTATAACCCACATGCCTACCCTTTTCCCTTCCAATGTGGGATAACAGTTTCTTTAAAATATTTTATGCCGTTACCAAAATTCTTCAATCTTCAACTTCTTCTTCAATCTTCAATCTTTGGGCCTTCGACATCTTTAATCTTCGGCTTCTTCTTCTTTAATCTCCAACCTTCGACCTCTTCTTCTTCAATCTTCAACCTTCAGCTTCTTCTTCTTCGATCTTCAATCTTCGGTGTCGGTATCTTCAATCTTTGGCTTCGGCATCTCCAATCTTCGGCAGTACTAGAGTCAAGCATCTGACGAGGTTTGTGTTTCAACTTTCATCTTCACTTCACTTCACTTCAATTTATTGTTATTGTTAATTTGTTATTGTTGTTATTGTTAATTTCATCTCACTTCTTTAATTTCTCGCTCAAAGTCAGGCGGCATCAAAACATAACTTCACTCACTATCCTTAACCAAGCTACTGCAACACCAAGACCTCATGCTGATAAGGCCATTAGAGGTGAAAAGATATCATATTTGATAGGGCATTGGATAAGTTGATGGTTTTTTTTTTTTATGTGTGTGTGTGTGCACGTAATTGGTTAGGGTGCATTTGTTTTAGTATTTTGGATAATATTTTTGAAAAAGTAAGAGTTGGGTGATAATAACGAAGTATGATTTGAAAATTAACAAAAACACCACTCTATGTTTGTTAATTTACAAAACACCCATATAATAAAAACATTAAAAATTACAAAAACACCCCACCCACCCATTAAATACCAGCCACCATCATCGGAGTCGCTGTATCGGTGCATGACCTACTACATCTGGCCGGTCATGCGTCGAGATTGCCTTTTTGAGCCAAATCTACTGTAGATCTGACCGCGTTGATGACCAAAGATATGGCTGTTGTTGATGACCAAAGATATGGCTGTTGTTGATGACCAAAGATATGGCTGTCGTTGATGACTAGCTACGATCAAAGATCTGGCCATCAACGACCAGATCTTTGGCCATGGATCTGGCCCTTTATCTGGTCGAAAAGGGTATGATCTGGCCAGTAGTGCGCCATTATACCAAATTCTGACCACCTTCCGACGGTGGTAGTTGGAATTTGGCAAATGTGGGTGGGTGGGGGTGTTTTTGTCACTTTCTAAACTTTTTTGGAGTGTTTAGTTAAATTAACAAACTTAGGGGGTTTAAATTAATTGAATAAATTATAATAATATTTTCAGAATAAGGAAACAAATGTGTATTTTTTGGAAATGATAGGAATAAGATAGGGAAAAATAGGGAAACAAATGCACCCTTAGTTTCTAATATCCAAATTGTCAATTGGTAAGTGTTTGGTTTTCATTTTATATTTTTATTTTTTTGGTTAAAGCTCGAAACATATTGCTGCTTTTGTATATTTCTAAGTGGCCCATTTAAGCATTTTGTGAACTGAATGTTTGTCATCTTGATGATTTATTTCTTCACACCTTGTGGGATTGGTATGGATTTATGAGAGGAATGTTTGATATTCAAATTGGAAGTAACAAATTCATTTTGTTTTGTATGGTGTTTCATGCAATTAATTCCATGTGTTACGAGAAGCCTTAGTTTACAATTTTCGTGCTATGGTTGCAATAATGGATTGGGTTTTTTGTGAATCTACATCTGGCAATGCTATTGTTGTGAGAAGTCCGGATAAGTGCCAAACTGATTTCTTTTTAAAAGGGAAAATGTTCGACAGTCGCAGGTGTTAGAGATTTCTCTCGCTTAGTTTGAAATCCTTGTTTTGAGAATAGGGGTTTGAGATTGTTTTTGTGGGATTCTTTGCGCATTGCAGTGTGCCAAATTCTCCATGTTCATTTCATTTTAGATTTGGATGAATTTGTTACAAAAATTTATTAATTATCAGTGTTATAATTTGGATTTTGTTAATTTTTTATTTATTTGTTGACGTCATGCTAATGTCACAATCCGACTCATCGGTCGAATCGGTCTGCCTGGCCAACCCAAGACCCAGTGACCTGACAGGCAGGGCCGGACCCAGGCCCCTTGAGGCCTACCCTCAACTTTAAAAAAAAAAATTGAAAAGCTTTTATAAAAGGTGTAAAAAAAAAAAAAAGAAGTTAAAAGTTAAAAAATTAAAAAGTTAGGTTTTGTCTTTTTTATATTCAGTTTTTCTAACCCAATTCTCAACTTCCCTTTTACATGCGAATCTGGATTTGGAGTGATTGTAATCCATATTTTGTAAACCTTTGTGTATTTTACTTTTGTTAGAGTTGTGATTGAGCTCTAAATTTGTATAGAATATTTTTGGTGGATTTGTGACTGTTATAAATGATAATCCTATTTTTCCCTATGATTTCGAATTAAATTTCAATAGGATTTAGGATACTTCTCATACTATTTGGGCCATAATTGCTACCTAATTCTATTAATTTATCTTTACAGGCATAAACAATGATTTTGAGCATAAATGATAGTTTTGAGCGTAAATTGCATAACTTGAGCTTGGAAACTCAGAATGACCTGATTTTAGAAGCTTTGGAAAGCTAAGAAGCAGGGCTACAACTTTCATGTTTTGGGTTTTTCCTAATTCTGACTGGACAAGGGTGAAAACTTGGCTTGAAGTCGTGAACAGTATGTTAGAAACCGAAGAAAAACATCTTTGGATATGCTTCAGTATTTCTGCCATAACTTGAGCTGTAGACATCGGATTGTGATGATTCTTTAACGAGTAGAAATATAATTTAAAGCGCTACAATTCATATGTTTAACACTTTTCCATATTAAGACTCTTTCATGCTCAAATTTGGCTCGAAAAATTTTTCGCTGTGGCAAGGAAAAAGCTTCGCCGCGGCAAAACTGTGTCAGATGTGAAAAATAAAACGACGCGTTTTGGCTTGCTAGGGCTTGGTCCTTAAGTGAAAGAGATATAAATTAGCATAAAAATAAAAGAAAAAGAAAAAGGGTCTTGGTTCGTCATTTGGAAGGCAGCTCTTGGAAGGAGAAGATTATTGAAGATTTGGGCTTCAAATTAGAGAAAATTTCTCCATCTTTTGCTTGTTTTTCAATGATAAATCTTGATTCAGTTTGTTTTTGTTATTTTATTTTGTTTTTGAGTATGAATTGAGTTGTTTAGCTAGGGTTTGATGTAACCTTGATACAATTATTCAAATTTATATGAATTGATTTACTTTGAGTTTTAATTTCAAGATTGAGTGTTTATCTCTTTGCTTAATGACTTTTGGATGTTTGATCACCATTCAAATGTGTGTTGTTCACAATGAGATTGAGAAGTGATTTGTGATTGTGCCTCTTGGGATAAATACCGTAGATTAAGCAAACGCTAGAGATAGGTTTAGCGATTTATGAAATCTAGATAGAATTCCATAAAGCTTAAAAGATTTTGAACTATTAATCTTCATTTTGTTGGGTACGGAAGCTTAATAGGGATAAGTAAGAAAATATAGCCTGAGAAGGTATGTTTTACAACCTAGGGAATTCGATTTTCAATCAAGGAATTAGAACTTAGGTAATAGATTCTATGATTTGGGTTAGCGTATCTAGGTGAAATCAACACCCTGGCATTTTTTTTAGCATTTTGTTTAATTAGTTAAGTTGTTGGGTTTTGCTTTAATTTCATTATCATTCATTTATATTTTCTCAAATTGTATTTAGTTAGTTAATTTTTCATCAATCCAATTTATTGTTGCTTCAATTAGGACTTAAACTAGAAAAATCGGTACTTAGTAACACTATCCTTGTGGGAACGATACTCTACTTATCACTTTATTAA